CAAGAGGTCAACGGTTATGACACGGTTCTAACGCCCCGCGCCATAATTCTTCCCAGTGTGTGTGAAACCCTTGGAATCAGTAGGCATTCTTGAAGTCACCGCTCACAAAGACACTTCAAGTTTGCTCTAATATGCAATCTGGACGCAGATTGCACGTACCTGCTGGAAGGTGACTGCCATTCATTTCCTTTTGGGCCCCTTTGTTGTTAGAACAGGTGATTGGCCTTTGCATCGGTTTGAGATCTGCAGACTGCACAGGATGTCGATCGCTCGAATCGCTCGAGTCTAAGCTTTGAGACTTCTATTTTCAAGATGTTGATTCTTTTGGTTGGACGCTTCTCCACTTGCATTTTTCTGGTTTCCTACTCCCTGGACTCTTAGGATTATGGTTTACCTTGGTCGCTGTGGGGCGAATGGTTTCCAATTCAGTACTTTTTTTCCCGAGTGTGTACACCCTGGATTCACGGGTAGCCTGGTACTGGTGATCCAACGAAGATCAAGCTCCGTGCTGATATTTGGCCTGTGGCAGTCGAGCAGTGGCCTTTGGAATCTCATGCCTTTGAGACTTCTTGAATTTGAATGTTTCCGATGGCGGAACCCTCTTTGCACAACTTAGGCGCTTCAATACCGAGGCTAGGAGCGATCAGACCGCACGTACTTTCATTTCGAGTGTGTGCAAATGTACCTTGCTTTGTGGGCTGTGTTGTTGGACCTCGGCAGCTTTGGATGCCGTTTTGGGATGTGATGATGTTTAGCGTCCAGCAAGGTGGAACCTGAAGTAAGGCAAGGCTCATAAGCACCTCTTTGCCCAATATTTTATGGTTGTTTGTTTCTGGGGTTTGGAGTTTGTTTAGAGCCTGTTATGATGGCAAGCACCTTCCTCTTTCCAAATTGCTCCAGTGTATGGAGAAGTGCGGAATATCTTTTGTTCGTCCTAACTTCCCGGAACCCTGGCTGTACGCGTGAAGGGCCCCACGCAGGTCCGGGGAAGCCAACCGTTGGGCACCTTTGAGTGGTGAGTACAATGGATTGGTGAGAACCATCCCACAAGTGGCTTAGAACGTGCAGTTACCCAAGAAGCAGAGCTGGAAAACCGTTGGATTCAAACAGTTCGATATGCTTCCTTCGATGTCCTTCCGCAGCTCAGGGCAGCAACAAGACTTTGTGCATTCTTCGTACGATTTTCGAAGGAAAATGGCTATCCGGCCATCCAGGCTACCCAGGCTGTGACTGTCGCCCAAATGGTTTTTGTGGGGGTTCTGTTGGCTTTACCACTGGATCTTTTTGTAGATTTGTGCGTGGGGTCTGACAATTTGCCAAGGTTGGGGACGTGCAAGCTCCATGTGTTTGTGTTGCGTTGTTTCTTCCTGGTCACTTTTTCAATTTACCTACGTTACACAACTTCAATTGTTGCTTGTGTGTCTGTCAAGTTTTGATTGCGTGTCGTGTTGGAACACTTCCAAACGATTACCCCAGCTTCGCCATTGCAAATTTTGTTGACCAAACACTCGGCAGCTACCTAATTCAAATCATGTTCATTTAACCGCCAAACATGCTGGATATCAACTGCGGAATTTGCAGTTTGGCTCTTTTGACCTTTCACACATTTAATAATTAGCAGTCAGATCTAATGCAGGAACCCATTTCCATGTGTTTCTCTTCTACGTCAGACGTGTTTGTTATCGCAGAGATTTTGACTACTGCAAGTATTTGTTTTTGCGTTGCAGTTGGGACAGTATTTTGGACCATCATTTAGCTACCAACCTGGCTTCAATGCATGCCATGCGTACATCACCGATGTGGGGTTGACTTGCAGATTTGAGGACTTGAGGCGCGGACGCGTTATGCGGTTTTGTTTCTGTTTTTGTCCTGATGATGTGCCTACACAGGAGTTGCCCAAGGATCGACATCACGATTTCGCTCGCTGTATCGAGACTTGGCTGGGAATTGAGCTGGCATACGTGTCGCTGGCATGGCATGATGGGATATTTTGGTCAATCGACACACCATGTTTTTTTTTTTGTTTTCCGTGCAGATCGATGTCTAGAAACAACTACACCACACGCCATGGTTTTCTCTTCCAACGCGATGGTTTTCTGTTCAGCTCTCTTCTCCCAAGTGGCGCTTCTTTCCACATCGATGAATCCGATGGATCCGATTGAACACTCCCCGCCCGGGTGTAAAAATTGTCGTCGAATCGAATTCGATTTCCAACTCGAACTCGAAGTGGGTCTTTTCCCAACTGGTTCCCCAGTCGAAGTGCATGGCAGTCGAAGTCGAAGGACTGCTACGTTGTAATGGCTCCTTCCTGCTCCAATTTTTTCCATCGAATGGCCCACAAAAGGAATGCTTTGCAATGGCTTCTTCCTTCTCTATATTTTACCCTCGGGTTGCTCACAAAAAGAAATGCTACGTTGTAATGGCTTTTTCCTTTTCTAAATTTTACCCTCGGATGGCCCACAAAAGGGATGCTACGTTGTGGTCAGTTGGTTGGTTGCTGCTGGCGCCGTTGGCAGGTGGCTGTTGGTGAACTGGTCCAACCCCCCGGCTCTATAATTGTTGTATCGAACTCGACTGGTCCACCCCCGTCTCGCTCGATCCGCGCAATCTCGCGCATCGAACTCGAACCCGAACTTGAACTTGAACTCGAACTCGAACGGGATCAGTTAGAACCACCTGGGGCACGGCCTGGGCCGAGTCAGACGCTCCGATCCATCCGAGTCTAACAAGGGGCGGCGGCAGTACGGTCCTTTTTTTGTGGCAGTGGCAAGGGAATGTCCGAGCACGTCGTGCATGTCAAAGGAGTGTTTTGTTCTGGGTGACTTACTTTGCATGGTCTTTTGCATCCATGCTCTACTTTAAAGATGCTGCAATGGAAACCAGGACGGGTATGCATAGCTCAGCTCTCTTCCATTCTAGTCAGCAGCCAGTTTATGTGGGGCAGGTTTGAAACAAGTGATTTGAGTCCAGCCTTGAATCTCTTCAGGACAGATCCGGATCGACGGTTCTGCCTGGTTTGGTGTGGAACTCAACGCCTGTTTGGTGTGTGACTGCTCCGATCGCAGCTTGGAATCTAGACAGTTTCTTGATTCTAGAAGGCTCCGTGACAGAGCGGTTGGATCAGGGCAAGACACCCCGAACTTGCTTGGCAAAGCCGCAGCGACTCTTCCTCCACACCCCGAACTTGCTTGGCAAAGCCGCAGCGACTCTTCCTCTGGTCTTCGCTGTTTTCGTGCCGGGCATGTCGGACGTGCAGAATTGGATGTCAACCGTGAGTGGCACACGTGAGCCGGGGTGTACAACGGGAAGTGGTTTCCATCGGATCTTCCGTTGAAGAGGTGAGGAACCTTGGAACCATTTGTTGCGTCCAGACGAGGTGTGCTTGAACTGTTTACTGCTTACTTCAACGGTTCCCATATACTGTAAGTGAAACTGGCAGGAAGTCAAGTCCAAACACATAAACTGCAATGTAAGCAAGCACACTGACCAGAATAGAATCTATGGATATCGGACATCTGCGGTACCTTTGGCTACTCTCTAGTTTACTAAACACACCCCAAATTGGCACACTCCAAATGCGCCCCTGCGGCGAAAATTTTAGCGATTCCTTCTCATTTCGTGTTTCACGGTAGTAACAAGGACGCTACGTTCGGGGCTCTTGGCCTTACTACTAGGAACAAGGACGCTACTAGTAACAAAGGGCATTTCTAGTAACAAGGACTCTGCGTTTTTGGACCGTTGGAGTGCCCGTGCACCGCGCCGAGGGGGCCTGAGAGCAAGCCCGGCTCGCTGGTTCGTGCGAGGCGAGAGCGAGGCTGGGAAGAACCACCCGTGGCGTGCTGGGCGGTACTACTTCAGTACGCGGAAGATGAGAACTGGCGACTTTGTAGTACAACTTTAGTACGCGGAGCAATCTGTGGAGCTGGAAGCTGAGAACTGGCGACTTTGTAGTACAACTGTAGTATGCGGAGTATCTGGAGAGCTGGAAGATGAGAACTGGCGACTTTGTAGTACAACTGTAGTACGCGGAGCAATCTGTGGAGCTGGAAGCTGAGAACTGGCGACTTTGTAGTACAACTTTAGTACGCGGATGAGTCATCTCTCGCGGCTGCTCTGGCGCCCCTGCAGCTGAGTCATGTCTCCCGACCACCCGGCTCTCTTGAGAGGTTGACACACACACACACAGAGACCCACGCACTGCCTCAACTTACTCGGACACACACACACACAGACAGAGACTCACACACACACAGACATAGATACACACACACAGAGACCCACACACTGCCTCAACTCACTCGACTTAACACTTCACACTGAACACTTAACAGATAACTCACACTCTGACTTCCGACGTGATGAAAAGTGCTTTCGGGCCACTCGTCGTCTAGTTGGTTTTTCCAGAGCAGTTTGCAATGCTGCATAGCTCATGGACAGGTCAGCAGGTCAGGTCAGCCAGGCGTTGGGAGGAAGTGGAAGTGGGTGCCGCTTTCACAAGCAAAGGAAGGATAAGGACATAAGGATAGTATGTCAAGCCATGGGAAGATGAGGAGCATTATGCAGCTGGGAACCTTTATATTCTTTCTAAGACAAACTGTACCTTGTTGGATTTCGTAGATTTCTTAGAGAAGGACGACGTCAATGACCCTAGTCGTTATTTTCACTTGGAGCTTGGCGTTCTTTTGGGCCTCTACAGCCGCGCACTAATTGGACGTAGGGTGGAACAGTTATATTATAGTTCTTGAAGTGGATGGAAGTTGTGCAGAGGTGTGGCCACATGTTTTTTTTAATGTTTTTTGTTTTCTTTTTGGGCACATGTTCATGCAGAACTTTGAAGTATCGCGATTGCTTGGGCGCAATTGGGCACTGATATAAATCATCCATTCCCACTTGAGATCCGTTCGTGTCCATTGCACTGATTGGATTCCAGTTCTCATCAGCGGTGAAGGTGCCGTGGGTTTTGATTGGTCTCCGACTGCAGGCAGATCATTCTTGCTCAAATGGCCTATCATGTTGAGAGTCGAGTCATGAGCTGGGCAAGATGTTCGATGATGTCTCTGATGATGCTGACCTGGAGTGGCGCTCAGCCAGATGTTTTGGTCTACACAGTGTTGATGGAGCTCGGTGTTTCTCCAAGCGAAGCGGAGTTCATGTCCCAGGACCCCTGTAGCGCCGAGGGTTTCTCCTGCGATGAGGATGGGCAAATCATTGGTTTGGTCTTCAGCTTTCGAAAACTGGGAGGCCGACTTCCCAAAGAGCTTGGGCAGTTGTTGATGCTTCAGGAGCTAGATCTCCCAGGAAACACGCTCAAGGGCAGCATCCCCAAGGAACTTGCAGATCTTCATGGCTTGCGAAGGCTGAACCTTGGTGCAAACAACCTTGATGGACACATCCCGGAGGAGCTCGGAAACCTCACAGCGCTGGAGGAAATCAGACTTGAAGGCAACGACTTGACCGGCCGAATCCCCTGGAAGCTGGAGCGGCTGCGGAGATTGCGAAAGCTGGAGCTGGCCTACAACCACCTCTCGGGCGAAATCCCCAGAGAGCTTGGCCTGCTGGAGAGCCTCGAACAGCTTTCCTTGACCAAGAATCATTTTGAAGGTGACATTCCCCAAGAGATTGGGAGGCTGAAAGCTTTGGAGGTGCTTGATCTTTCACAGAATCTGCTGTGGGGAAAGATTCCCAAAGAGCTTGGTCAGCTGTGGAGCATGCGAGAGTTGGTCCTGAGCAGATCGCGGATTTCAGGAAAAATTCCTCCGGAGCTTGGCCATCTAGAAAAGCTTGAAATTCTCGATCTTGACCAGAACCACCTGGTTGGCCAGATGCCCAAAGAGCTTGGGAAACTGAGAAGTCTCAGGCGTCTAGTTCTTTCGCATAATCGGCTGATTGGCAACATTCCCAAGGAGCTTGGTCAGCTGGATGGTTTGCGGGAGTTGCATTTAAACCGCAACCAGCTGACGGGAGGAATTCCCAAAGAGCTTGGGGAACTTCAGCGCTTGAGGGCTATTGACTTGTCCCACAACAAACTCAGCGGCAACATTCCCAAGGAGCTTGGCCTGCTCGAGGCTTTGTACTGGCTTAGCATGCAGAAGAACCAGATTTCTGGCCAAGTTCCGAAGGAGCTTGGCCAGCTTCGGTCTTTGTATTATCTGGATCTTCGAGGGAACCGGCTGCAAGGGGAGATCCCCAGAGAATTGGGGAACTTGGAGGAGCTCTGGTGTTTGGATCTCTTTGGCAATCGGCTAACAGGGAAAATCCCCCAGGAGATTGGCCGGCTAAAGGCCTTGAGTACCTTGGACCTGTCCCAGAACTGGCTGATGGGTGAAGTTCCCAAAGCGCGCAGTCTAAGAGAGCTCTACCTGGGAGGAAACCAGCTGACAGGAGGAATTCCAGAAGAACTTGGCAATTTGCAGACCCTGCGTGCATTGAATTTGGCTGAGAACCAGCTGCAGGGCGACATACCTGAAGCGATACGGAAGCTACGAGCACTGGAAGAGCTTTCCCTGTCAAAGAACCGACTTGGAGGGAACATGAGCAGCATTTCACTGATGTTGAGTTCCATGCGCCTCAGAGTTTTGGATGTCAGCTACAACTCTTTTCGTGGAGAGGTTGATTTAAACCTGTCTGCGGAATCGTGCCAGGATCTCCAACACATGGATTTGAGCCACAACAAGTTTTGTGGGAGTCTTTCCAATCTTGCAAACATTTTTTGCAAGTTGAGCCCCATTGGGGGATCATTGCAAGAGCTTCGCCTCAACCACAACAAGTTTTCAGGTGAAGTGCCAGCATGTTTGATGCAGTTCCGCCATTTGACTCTTCTTGCTCTCAACAACAATCGTTTACAAGGGTCCTTTCCTGAAGTGCATGCTCCAGAGCTAGTGGTGCTGGCTCTGCACAAGAACAGGTTTTCGGGCACCCTTCCTAGAAGCCTTCACACCCTAAGGAACCTGGGAGTGTTGACTCTTCATGAGAACTCCATCGGGGGCTCCATCAGCGACATTCGCTTGACAGCGATATGCATGGATAACTCCAAGTTCAGGCAGCAGGCCCTCTCATGTAAAGGTTGGAAGCGAGTGGCGCGGTTCCAGCAGCATTTCCAACGCTTGCAACACTTCGAAGAGCTACAACTCAGGGAAAACTGCCCAACACTCTTTGGATGCCCTTTGAATGGCAAGGCCTACATCACCTTGCACCGCAACCGATTCTCCTGTGCAGTTCCTGATCGCATTGCTGCCAAGGCAACAGTCACTGGCCTAGTCATCATGGGCAACATGCTAGGGTTTGGACGTGAGCTAAACTCTCCTTGGATCCTGCCAGAAGAGAAACACTCCTTCCTGTACTACTCTGACGGCGTTTGGAAATCCAATCTGAAAGTTCTTTGTGGCGTTCTGATATTGCTTTCCTTTGCAGCTTTGTGCTATCCATGGCGGCAGAGGCTTCACGACGCATCCCGGAACTTGACCTTGTCGAGCACAGCTTGGGTTGCATCATCCAACTTTGCGCTGTCCCTGGGTTTCTCCATAGCAAATTTGTTGTTGATGAGCCACCCAGACTCTGTAAGAAGCATAAGATCTCTGTAAGACTTATGGACTTCCTTTAAACAACAAGTAAGGGCTTCCTTTAAACAGCATGTTTCTCCGTTTCACCTCCTTCACTGAAGACACTGCCGGTCTCCTGGGGTCGATGGCGGGGTTATCGCCGGCCGAGTGGTTTTTTGGAGCGGAAACTTGGGAAGACAGGTTTGGAAGGAAAGAAAATCAAATTCGAGAAATTTGCTACTCTTGATAAATACACCCCTCATATGAAGAGGATGAAAGCCAGCCGGGCTAGGCTGGAGTTGTCGATGGGCGCACGATGTGAGTATTAGGGGGTGTGGGGGGTGGTCGCACAGTACAAACATATGCCATAGATATGTCAGTGTCAATGTGATTTTAATGGATGTATGAATGTATACAGATACATGACTGTTCATCAAATAAGCCCTTTGGCTGTTCTCCTGGGAAACTCAATACCAAGCACTCCAGCACCTTTTTTCCTAAGACGCCTGTTTCTCAAAAAAGTCCTTGCACCTGACCCAAGCCTAGATCATAGATGGAGAGAAGGTATGAAGACATAACTTCCCCAATGTGCATGGATCCAAGGCTGAAAACATGCCGGAGCACCTGTTTGTTTGCCAGTCCACTTCTATTGCTGTTGTGGCATGGGGGCAGCTACTACGAATGCAGCCCGCCATTGTGGCGAACCACATCTGCAAACTTCCAAGCTCAGCCTGTGGTGGAGCTTTGTGTGATCGGCAACTGGTGTGTGATGCTTTTCTTTTTTCGGACAGTCTTGGCTAGCATGCCAGCAGCGCCCAACACTAGTAGCAGCATGCCAAACTTGAACAACCCATGGAGGTTCAAGCGGGCTCGACAGTTTCTGGCGTGGTTTCTTTGGGTGTGGATGGTTGCACTTTCCTCCCTGCCATCGGTGTTGTACGCATTCTCCAACTCATTGCCCGCGAACAACACGCTTGGCATCAGTGATGCGCTGCTGAGTTTCGTCCACAGCACTGCCCCTGTCCTCACTGTGTTGATTGACATGGTCGTTGCAGTGAGAAAATCAACCCGGTACTCGAGATTGACTGGAATCAAGGCAGATAAACTCTTAATGACATTCCGGCTGGCTTCGGCGTGGCTCTTTCCGTTGCTGACCACGATCATATTGGATGAAAACTGTATCTCTGCATGGAAATGGACTTGGACAGTTTGCAAAACTGGGTCGCCACAGCACCACTATTTTGATCTGAAGATCTACGATGAAGAGATTCTGAATACGCAGACAGATATTTGCAATCTGAGCGAGACTTGGTGGTCGGATGGCCGCTGCAGCCGTGCGATTGTGGGGAATTTGACACCCTTTTTGCTGCAAAAGTGCCTTCTACGAAGCACGTTGCAACCATTGGCCTTGCTGTTCATGTGGCAGTTTTCGCGGTTGGAACGGCACGAGGATCGACAGCAAGGATGTCACTTGAGGCTGTTTGGTTGTGGTCCTAGAGCCAGCAGCTCTTTAGCGCCCTTGCAGCAAATGTCGCTGCTGACCACACAGCTGGAACTATTGATTTTTTGGAGTCCTTTGGTTCCTTTGCTCAGCGTGGGTATCCTAGGTGCTGGCATCGCAAACTTGCTGATGTTCGATCTTGGTGTTTGGACCTTTGGTGTGAAACTTCCTTCTGATGACATAAACAGAGGCGCCAGAATATCGCGCTCCTACCTGGGCTTTGCGCTCTGTGCAGGCTGCTGCTTTCAGATTTGGCACGCCTTCAGCTCAAAGATGTATGGTAGATATTTGCTGCTGTTTTTCAGCATGGCCACAATGGGGCCTTGGGCCAAGCGCTTCTTGCCGCTGGAAAGGGCCAGGTACCACCTCTGGGATGATGGTGACAAGGTCAGTGAGACTCAGATCATTGAGATGTCAATGAGGACAACCACATCTGAACCTGTTATGACTTGACTAAGCGTGCGACAAAGGATGTGCTTCTGCAGAAGAATGCCTCCAATACTTGGCAAGCTTCTTGCAATGCAAGCAAATTGCAGCTGTTTGTTTGTTTTGATCCTTGCAGGTTGCAAAGACAATGTCCTCATTTTCAGATAACGAGGACGCGGAGCTTGGTAGGAGATCAGTAGGAGTCTATGTTCAGGTCTCTTTTTGTGCTTTTGCAGGGTGCAAAACTCATTTCCTTGTCTTCGCCTTGGATATGCGGTTTGACACAAGGCTTGGAGGAGAAAGCACAACGCCACACCTGATGATTGGATGCCGCCTTGCTTCGGGTCGGTCCTACCGTGTGCCGTGCACCATGCCAACCGAGTGAGCGACTCTGTCGCTTCGTCCCTGTGGAGCCGCAGAGGACGGCCAGATCTGCGGAGAGCAATCTGATGGACGTCTCTGCTCGGAGGGGCGACTTGGCGACTTTCTCCACGTGAAGTTGGATTCTCCTCCATCAACGCAAGAGATGTGAGAAGCCATCTATTCGGTGGTCGCCGTGGCGTTTCATGGCATGATCGCTGTCGAAGGATGAAATCCCTGCGGGCCACATCCAGAACTTGATCACCCTTGATCATGACTTGACACGACACCATACTTATAGACTTATGATGGTTCTTTGGAGGGTCTGGTTTGCTCCCTGAGACTTTAGAGGAGTACACTCTTCAGCTATAGGACCTCCACTTGAAGCCGCGCCCAAGACCTCCACTTTCGGGTCTCATCCTTTCACCGCGCGTGCTTTCGGTCTTCCGGCACGGCACGGCCGGGTGTGACACTGTCCGATGAGCAGCCTTCAGACTGGTCCGCCCGTCGCGGACGAGACCAATGAGACGACCTGCCAGACGGTCACATCTCAAAGCGTTCTTTCGGTGTTTTCGGTGTGTTGTTGGTTTCGGGGTAGGCCGGGGGCAGACGGGGTTTCGGGACGGGGTAGGCCGGGACTTCGGTCTACGTTTCAGGTCGGTCGATGATGATGCGACGCTGAGGCCGGCGGTGGAGGTTCGGGTCGAGGTTCGGGTCACGCAACATGTATACCTTGGGAGTCAAAGACTATAAAAAGAATGGTCTTTAGGGGACCTGAAAGGGAACTTCCTTTACTTCAGCCGGTCAAAATATAGTCTTTGGACTTCTAGGGTATACAGATGAACATGCAATGCAAAGTCCCGGGTGCCTTCTGGAGAGCCCCTGGGGCGGCATTCTTAAGGTTTTTGTGGGGATTCGCGTTTGGTGCCTACTGTGTGCAGTTGATTGATTGGTGCTAGAAGAAAGCCTCACATGTGGTCACGCTTTTACTTTTTCACACAGCTTTCGAACTGTATTTCCAAAGAATCAGACGATTTCCATCTGTATGTATATATATATATACAATATACACACATAACAGGCTCCTGCCACTCTGCGCCGTAGTTCCTACAGATGATTCTACAACTGACACTGGGTCGTATTCACGCCAGGCATGGCATTCTCCGGGAGTGTCCCGGGGGTCAGAAACACCGCCCCAGCCACCCACCCCAGGCACCTGCGGAGGGTGGAAGGAGGGGGAATAGTCATTGGATGATTTGAGACATGGTGAAACGTGGTGAGAATTGGAGTGAATCATTGAATTGTCCAACCAGTGTGGTGAACAGCTTTACTCCTGAAACGTTCGCCGGCGCGATCTTTCCAAAGCTTGGGAGCTTTGAAGGGCCTCAACAAGTCTCAAGTCCACTGTGTGATGCCAGTGGGACCCACTGCCTGCTAGCAGGCTAGTTGCACCAGACAACTATGTTCTATTGGTCACTAAGCATGAGCCCCCATCCCTACCAACAAGACAGCAACAAGAAGTAGCTTCGTTCTCGTGTCATGAAACATGGAGTCACCGGCTTTGTCACCGTGTGTTCTCCAAATCGGTACCCCCAAAACCCCCAGTCACCTCGGCTTGCGAACCGTCCCGAGGTTCAACTAGGTGCTGAAGGCGTTCGACCAGAGTCGGGTGGGAAGGCGTGGTTTTCGGTGGCTTTTCGATTTGGGGAGGAGCTTCAGGAAGTCGCAGAAACAGGGACGTGGAGGGAAGAGTGAGAGGGATATTCTGTAGTTTTTTTTTTGGGGGGGATGAGACAAAGCACTGGAGAAATTGGATGGTTTTTCGGATGGTTGATGTCCACCACCCACGAGCCCAAGCGAGGTTTGTGGGGACTTCTCACCGGCTGTTCTGCCGGAATCTCACCGCGTGGTTTCCTCCAAATGATTCGTTTGAGCAGAACACTTCAATCCTCCTCCTCCTCCCGTTTAGGCATATCAGGATGATTTTTTTTTTGCAAACATCCATATAAATGGCTTCATTTCTATTGATTGGTGTGGTTGATTCCGGGATACTCCCAAGTGATCAACCAATAGGTAAACAAACCAACTTTGTCTCAACCAGACATCTCCTCTTCTTCCTGTGGTGTTACGTTGTGTTTTTGGCAGCCTAGACAGTTCGGATGTTTTCACGCAGATGGCCCTGCTGAAGTGGCGTGCTATGTTTTAGTCCGTCGGCAACGGTGTTGATATGCCTTGGAGTTCTTGCGGGTCATTGGAGAAAGTGGGTCTTCACATTTTTTCCCGGGATCCCACTCGTGTTTTTAAACAAAGTTGTGTTTGGCTGATACCACTGGTACGTGTTTCTCTTCTCCATGTCGAAGAACCTGACAGGCTTCTGTGTCTCCATTCCAGTGTCTGCGTCAGGTGCAGGTACTGCGTGAGACGGACTTGGACGTGCTGACCAAAGGAGGCTTCCATTTGGCAGTTTTGTGATTGTAGAAGTGTGTGAGAGAATCCTGAGAATGCGCAGTGTATCTGATAGATTGTCTTCACAAACACTGGAGGTTTTTTCCCATAGACTGCATGTTGATATTCTTGCATGGTTTTGGCCCGACGGCCCATTGTAGTTGGGTGGATTTATCTCATTCTTAAGGCACTTTGAGTGCGCATGTCATCATCCTGGGTGCCAACATCTCATTCTCGTCCCGCAGGAGTGTTGATGTGTGACCACTACTCACGATTTCAATCTCAACTCGTTATTGATTGAGTGTTGCCCTTGGACCGAGTCATAGTTGGTGTAACCCTCTGACCTTGGGTGTTTTTTGCGTCTATAACCAGCTGAGCGCCTGGCAACTTAGAAGCGCCAGTCGGTCAAAAGAAGCCTGGTGATTTGGTACTGAAGTACAAGAAAGCTCCGAACTCCAGGACCTCCTTCGACCCGGGTACAGAAGATGTCCGAATCCCTTGGACTCCAGTGTTTTTCGGGTCTTTGGCTCTTTCTCTCAGGGCGAAAGGTGGAGAACACCGCTGCAGTGGTCGAAGGAGTTGGGTCATAGCATACCCTTTTCAAATGGCCTGGGTCATCCCGAACGAGCTGAATTTTACTCAGCGTTTTTACACTGTCTAAGACCAGATCAACCAGTTTTAAAAATCTTTGACATCCGAGACCTCCAAAAAGACAAGTTGACTAGAACCAGTCAAGCAGTCTCCCTACTCTAACAGCTCACCCAGATGAGCTTGCTATGACAAGCTTGCGTGATGGCGCCATGACTGCGGTGTCGATCGAGCACGATCCGCCTGTGAATTCAGATACTTTGCTTTACAAGATCCTCGTGGAGCTGGGATTGCCCAGAGACCAAGCAGAGGCTGTGGCCCGGATGCCCTGCAGCGCCAAACGTTTCTACTGCGATGATCAGGGAGAACTCACAGAAATCACTCTGCAACATTTGGATCTTCGGGGGCGTATCCCCAAAGAGCTTGGTGCCTTGCGGTTTCTTCGCCAACTAAACCTCCAAGTGAACCAGCTGAAAGGCCAGATCCCAAAACAGCTGGGTCAGTTGAAGTTCTTGGAAGTTCTTGGCCTGGCATCGAACCAGCTAGATGGCCGGATTCCCGAAGAACTTGGGCTACTTGAGAACCTGGAGTGGCTTCAACTGGAACACAACCAGCTCAATGGCCCCATTCCGAGGGAGCTGAGCCAGCTGCATTCGTTACGAGGGCTGCACTTGCATCAGAATCAGCTCGCAGGATCTATCCCTAAAGAGCTTGGCCACTTAACAACATTGGAGGAGTTGCACCTTTCGCAAAATCAACTGACGGGCCAAATCCCGACAGAGCTTGGCCAACTTCAGGGTCTTTCTGTGCTAGATCTGGCGGAGAACCAGCTTCAGGGCAGCATTCCCAAAGAGCTTGGCCAGCTACAGAAATTGAGGAGTCTTTTCGTCTACAAGAATTCTTTGGAAGGACTTCCCACAGAACTTGGTCAGTTGCGCAACTTGATTTCTCTCCACCTTGCCCAGAACCAGATTCGAGGCCACATCCCCAAAGAGCTCGGCCAGCTCCGATTGCTGAAAAAGCTTGACCTTTCTGAGAACGCGCTGAGTGGTGAAATTCCCCAGGAGCTTAGCCAACTGGACTTGAGAATTCTCGATCTTTCTCGAAACCAGTTGAGCGGAGGCATTGCATTTCTTTGGAATACCATTTGCAGCCTTACGGTTTTTGATATTAGCCACAACGCTCTTAGTGGGGAGCTCAACATGGAAGTGTCTGAGACTGGGCAGTCATGTCAGAAGCTCCGACACATGGATTTGAGCCACAACAAGTTTCGTGGGAGTCTCTCCAAACTTGTAGATATCTTTTGCAAGTTGAGCCCCATCGGTGGATCGTTGCAAGAGCTTCGTCTCAACCACAACGAGCTCATTGGTGAAATACCACAGTGTTTGATGCAATTCCGCCATTTGACTCTTCTTGCACTCAACAACAATCGTTTACAAGGGTCCCTTCCTGAAGTGCATGCTCCGGAGCTAGTGGTGCTGGCTTTGCACAAGAATGAGTTGTCTGGTAAGCTTCCCAGTAGCTTTCACACGCTGAGGCATCTTGGAGTGTTGACCCTGCATGAGAATTCCATCGGGGGCTCCATCAGCGACATTCGCTTGAATGTGACGTGCATGGATAACTCCAAGTTCGCGCTGGGCCAGATGGGCTGTGGTGAAATCTCGCTAACAACGAGAGGGAACCCATGGTTCAACTTCACAGAGAATGAGCTACAGCAAATCAGGAGCAACTGTCCTACTTTGACTGGATGCCCTAGACATGGAACGGCCAACCTGACTCTGCACCGGAATCGTTTCTCGTGCGCAGTACCCGAACGTGTCGACAATGTCACGGTGACGGGTCTTGTGGTTATGGGCAACATGCTGGGATCTGGCTACGAGCTCGCTTCATCTTGGATACTTCCAGAAGAGAAACAATCCTTCCTTTACTACTCCCATGAGGTTTGGCAATCCAATTGGCATGTTCTCTGTGGATTTCTGCTTCTTCTGCTTCTTGCGGCTGTCTGTCGACCACGACAGAGGCTGCAGAAGACCTTAAGAAGTTTGGAGGTTTCGACGACGGCTCCGGTGGCGTC